TTTATTTCGTTAATTTTCATTAATTAATTTTTTTGATTAAATATTTATACATGTTTTTTTTTTTTTTTTTTTTTTTTTTTTTCGAAGGGCGGTCAAAGTGTCGTATGATCCAGGCACTCCGGCCTGGTTCATGCGACAGCCGCTTTCTTTGGCATTATACTTTTTTTATATGCGCTAAAAATGTGTCATTTTTCTTTTCAGTATTGACAACGACATTCATGAAATTTTTCTTTTCGGTTTCCTGCATTGCTAATTTTTCTCTCCCTTTTGTGATTTTTTTAATTTTTTTTTTTACAGAATTAATTTTTGACAGGTCTCCCTCGCCAATCTCCTCTTTCCGGTCATCGTCCGTCGGAATGGAGGCTGTCGCGACGAACGCTGCGGTGGCAGCGGTGGCTGCCGCTCCTCAGCAGGTGCATCATCATCAGCATCAGAAGCCACGTGTCTCCTCCTCATGCGCCACCATGAAGGCGGCAGCACCGGGTTTCGCGACCCCCGTGCTCTCTGCGCCGGCCAACTCCGCGAGCAGGAGCGCAAGCTCCGTCATCTGCGCAGCGGAGCGCTCCCCCTGGCTCGGGCAATCAACAGGCAGCTTCGGCAGCAGCGGCGCGTTGACCGGCAGCGTGCGCTTGAATCGCCTGGCGGGGAAAGGCGGCGCAGGCGCAAACACCTCGAGCGGCGGCGGGAGGGTGACGATGATGTCCGCTTCTTCGGCCGCTGATGCCGCCGGCGATTCCTCTGCCGCCGCCAGCGATTCCACCTCCTCCTCCGGCCTCAACCCCGCCCTTGTCACCGGTTTCTTCTTCTTGATGTGGTACCTCCTCAACGTTATTTTCAATATCCTCAACAAGAAGATTTACAACTACTTCCCTTACCCATGGTTCGTCTCCACAGTCCATCTCCTCGTGGGTGTCTCTTACTGTGTTATCACTTGGACCCTCGGCATCACGAAGAGGGCACCCCTCTCCAACGACCAGCTCAAGGCGTTGATTCCTGTGGCTTTCTGCCACGCTTTGGGCCACGTTATGAGCAACGTGTCGTTCAACGCGGTGGCGGTCTCCTTCACGCACACAATCAAGGCGCTGGAGCCCTTCTTCTCCGCCGCCGCCTCGCAGTTCATTCTGGGCCAGAACATCTCTCTACCGATCTGGCTCTCCCTCGCTCCAGTAGTGTTCGGAGTGTCAATGGCCTCGATGACGGAGCTGTCCTTCAACTGGATTGGCTTCTTGAGCGCCATGACGTCCAATGTGGCCTTCACGTACAGGAACATCTTCTCCAAGAAGGCCATGACGAAGATGGACAGCACCAACTTGTATGCCTACATCTCCATCCTCTCGCTAGCGATGTGCATCCCTCCGACGCTAGTGCTTGAGGGTCCGGTCCTGTTGAAGGGCATCAGTGCAGGCGTAGCCAAGGTGGGAGCGTACAAGTTCTACACCGACCTCTTCTGGGTCGGAATGTTCTACCACCTCTACAATCAGTTGGCCAACAACACCCTCGAGAGAGTGGCTCCCCTCACTCACGCCGTGGGCAATGTGCTGAAGAGGGTGTTCGTCATCGGATTCTCCATCCTTGTCTTCGGGAACAAGATCTCCACCATCACTGGCATCGGTACGGTTATCGCCATCGGCGGTGTGACGGCGTACTCGTTGCTCAAGGCAAAGGAGGCCGAGAACAAGCTTAAGACCGCGTAAGGGGGAAGAGAGGAGGAGGAGCCGAACCGCCCAAGGGAAGGAGAGCAAGAGAGGAGGAGGAGGAGGAGGGAAGGAAAAGGCAAAGAGGAGAAGAAGAGAGGGGTGTGAGGGCGTACTTGTTGGTCAGGGGACAAAGAGGCCGAGAAGAAGTTCAAGAGGCCGCGTAAGGAGGAAGAGGGGACCAGGAGCACAAGGGAAGGAGAAGAAAAGAGGAGGAGGAGGAGGAGGAGGAGGAGGAGGAGGAGGCATGCAGAAGAACAAAGGGCGTGTCGTGAGAAGGTCTTCATGCTGGGAAGGAACGTAACAGGCACCCCATTCTTGAATGGAAAGGTTCCTGTTGGTTTGCAGCTCACGAAACAAAATGTTAGCCTGACTCTTGATGCACGGAGAACCTTCTCTCTCTCTCTCTCTCTCTCTCTCTCTCTCTCTCTCTCTCTCTCTCTCTCTCTCTCTCTCTCTCTCTCTCTGAGGCTCTCTGGGAGGCAAAGGGAATCCTTTTGAAGTTTAGCACACCGGCAAAACGCGCAAGCTAGCAAGCAAGGCAGCAGGTACCGTAGCTAAAGGCATACTCGGACGTATGGACTTCCTCTATGGATGAGCTTGTATGCTCGAACTCTCAATTCACTCAAAGCGAGAGGGACATGTCCGTAGTTGTTTACTTTGTTTATTTATTTATTGACTGTATTTGTTATGTCGCAGTGTGGTGGCGGCAGTAGGCAGCAGTAGCAGCGGCGGTGGGCAGCGGGAGCAGCAGTAGGAGTTGCAGTGGTGGAGGGCAGCAGCAGCAGGCAGAGGACGACGAAACGGTGGAGGAAGAGGAAAGGACCTGAGGTGTGAATTTGATGGTGGATGGTTGACTAGTGGTAGAAGAACCCTGTTCTGAAGACTGTCAGTTAATAGGGGAAAAAAAGGAAGGGAGGGAGGGAGGGATGTAATTTGCTTGCTTTGTTTATTGATTCATGGGCAGTCCTACACGGAAACGAAAACAAAAAGGAAGTAAACATGTGGACTTCCTTACAGAATACATCTACTTGAGTGAGGCCTTCGTCATTTTCTTTTTGCTCTTTTTTTCTTTTCCCAAAGAGAAGTTGTTGCGCAGTTCCAACTTCCTAGTTATGCACACACCGATGACACCATAATTTCCCTAAAATGTAATATAATCTCCCCCCCTCCCCTCTCCCCCCCCCCCCCCCCCCCCCCCCCCCCCCCCCCGCCACCACCATCCATAAAACAGGTCCTTATGGCCCTGGCTCCATTTCCATTCTGGGGAGCATCAGTCTGGTTCCTATTCCACCGGCAAGTGAGAATAAAATATCACATCATGAAACACACTCACCCTTCCTTCTGTCCAGCGGAAGGAACCCACGCCAGCATTGATTACTCCTGCATGGTGGAGGATTGACTGTCAGCTTGCCTTACTTCCACCTTTCCTCTCAGGTCCACTGCATGAACCTGTCAGATGGCAGAAGTTAATAGGTCAAGACGCTAGTCAGATCCCACAAATACCATGGAAAAAATTCAAGTCAATTCGTCTGGTCAAAATCAGAAGCCTCCAATGGCTCATCTCATACGTAGCTCTACCGGTTAACCAGTGGCTGCATATCAGAAGAAGTAAGAATGACCCTAACAGCTCAGATTTATGCACGGTATGTTCAGAAAATGAACCAGAAGATATGCTACATTGCCTGATACGCTGTAGAGAGGCGATGGAATGTTGGGCAAGGGCCTCGGATCTCTGGGATTCCCTCTTCTCGACTCCCCTCTCTCAACATCCTATCCAACTCCGTTTATGGACTAACATCCCAGCTCAATTCCACAAGACAGAGAAAACGTGGTTCGGATCGGAATGATCAGAAAGGGAACGCTGTGGTCCATCTGGAAGGAAAGGTGCTGTAGAACCATTGAGGGACTCTCAACTCCAAGGGAGAAGGTATGGGCGGAGACAAAGCACTTTGATTCAGGCGGAGATACTTTGTAAGTGGCACAAGACGAGACAGTCCATGCCAGATGAAGAAGAGCAACAGAGAAGAATCAAGGCCAAATTCACTAAGGTGTGGCTGTCAAGGGGCAAAGTGGCAGAGATAAATGACTTTCACATACGATGGAAAGACCGGCACAACTCAGAAGTAGGGTGGCGAAGGCAGAGATCCCAGCCAGCAGAAGGACAAGATCCATCACAGGTCACATAATATTGAAGGGAAAATTCCAAAATTGCATCTTCCATAATATTATAATCTTCTTTAATGAACAAAATATCGAAAAACGGCCTGTTGCATAGGGTGTGACGGGTACATGGATCTGAAGATCGCAATGTAAATATGTAAACATTGTCCTTAGTTGAAAATCCACCTCCCTCTTACAACCCCTCCTCCCATGCCCCCAACCTGTTGCCAGTGAAACCCATTGACTCCAGAAAGCAGCACTGTGCAGAGGTGGGTAGCACCACTTATGGACGGGGGGGGGTTGGGGACAGGCAGCTGTCACATCTCTCCTGATTCCTCGTTTCTGGCTGTAGATCTCCCATTGATCTGCCTGCGTTTGGCGTACATGGATCTCCGATTGACTCCAGAAAGCAGCATTGTGCAAAGATGGGTGGCACCACTTATCGGCGGGGATAAAGGCCTCCATCATGATTCTCCGTTTCTGGCTGTTGACCCTCGTGGTGATCTGCCTGTGTTTGAAGTACATGGATATTCGCATGTCGACCTGCAACAATTCCCTTCATAACCGACGGTCAGAAATGAGGAATCAAGGTAAGTGGGACCTTCGCCCCAGACATAAAATCTCCCGTATCCAGGCCTAGCTCCCTCCCACCTTCTCCCCACCACCCTCCCGGTTAGAGTCAATCCCCAAACCTTGCAACCTCCTCCCCATCAGCCTTCCATATCGAGCTGATCCCTAAGTTCTGCGACCAGCTGCCCCCAACACTCCCTCTCCCTCCTCCCCCCCCCCCCCCCCCAATCCCATTTTGACCCCATCCCAAGAGTCTGCAATCTTCTCCCCCACAGGCTTCCCAGTTTGAGTGGAACAGAAAAGCTTGCAACCTTCTTTTGAGAGGATGTTGAAAATCTACAAGGCTGCAACCTTCTCCCCATCAGCCTTTCACCAACGCCTCGTAGTTCAAGTCAGTCCGCGAAACCCGCAAGCTTCTCCCCCGTTTTGAGTGGATCCCCAATATCTGCAAGGTGAAGCGGTTTGTGTCTCATGTTTGGTACATCTTCGGAACGATCCGGAAAGGCTGGGTAATGACCACAGTGCTCCCACAGGTAGAGTAGTGAGGTCCCTCATTTCTGGCTTTGATAAAACAAGTTGGCAGAAAACAAAAAAGCAGGAAAAAAAGAAAAACCTGCAACCTTTAGAGACCCCTGATCAAGATAGTCCTGCTATGCGCTCCGCCCTCATGGTAGTCATTTTCTCTACGCTGGTGTGTAGGTCAGTTTTCTCCTATTAAAAACCTAACGGGACATCTTGTGGAACTTTTGGGGACCTGCTTTGAAGTAAGGGGCCAGGGGCATCAAATGATTCTTTACAAGGACGGGGAGGGGCAGGAAATAGGGCTGCTCGATGGGTACCGGCTAGAGGGGCCTCTTATCAGATGCGATTGGCGTCAGGTAGTTTACGCTGGCTGATGGGTACCGGCTGATGAGAGGGAACTCTGGCGCGATGGGCGTTGGGTAGTGCTAGTTCACCACCTTGACGACGGAGACTGGGATTCTTGTGGGGCCAAAGAATGTCAGGATGATGATGGTGCCATGCCCCCGCGGAGAAGAGGCTCTCTGAAGTTCTTCACGACGACGGAGTTGGGAAGGACTGAGGTGATTGGGAAGGAGGAAGTTGGTAGTGGATGCGATTGGCGCTGAAATTTCGGCGGGTACCGGCCACTGGCCGCTAACTTCACCCGGATCAGTCTGCGTTTCTTCCCTTCAATGATGGAGGCAGGATTGTTCTGTGGGGCTATTTTTCCAAAAAGAGGTTGAGTGGGATGAATAGATGATTGGATATCAAGCGTCCCACTAGTGAGGGGGCTAGCTTGTAGGATGGAAATAGGGCACAGCAGCAGTGGAGATGGTGGCTCTGCTGCAGTAAGTCTTGCCGGAGTGAGGTAAAGTGGATATGATGGGGGGGTCTCTGAGTTGTTTTCTGAATTTTGCCTATTTTGAAGCTTCTGTAGTGAAAAAAAGAGAATAAGGTGAGTGGAAAAGATGGTGGGTTATCACGCGTCCTACCAGTGAGGGGGCTAGCTGGTAGGATGGGAGTATGGCATAGCAGCAGCAGAGATGGTGGCTCCACTGCAGTCAGTCTTGCCAGAGTGAGGTAAAGTGGATGGATGGGGGATCTTCTGAGTTGTTTCTGAATTTTGCTTAATCACGAAGTTCTCATAGACATGTCTGAAGTAGCCTCAATTCTCTGAGCCAAAGCTGGGTAATGGCCCAGGTATCTCAGTTTTCAAAATTTCCATCCTTAGGCCAATTAGAATTATTGACCTCTCAGTGAAAGCAACCTTCAGAAAAATTAGAACCAAACGGAACCTGAAAGATGTTGTGATGGACAGATGGCAGAGGCACCTTAACGTGGACACACAACTTCTTACTCCCGTTCGATGGTTTGGCGACATCGAGTGCAGACCTGCAAAGATTACGTCCCTTCAATTGCAGATACTGCACCGATGTCTACCAACCAACGATTGGCTCATTGATCACACGAACCTGGAAACAACAGGGCCAGACCCTCCCGTGGTGTTCACGCTGCCTGTCGGGCTTTCCAACAAAGAGAGCCGAGACAATAGAACACATTTTTCTACAATGCCCGACGACAGTTCTAACCTGGAGGTGGTGGGCTAGAGTGTGGCAGCAAATTGTTCCAGGACACCAGTGGCCGTGGGAATGACGCGCCATTCTCTTGGGACATTATCCACCTCTCCAAGGAAACAATTTTGCCTGGAACATGGTCCATTTGGGTAGATGAACGGTCCTTTGGGTCTTGTGGTGGCAACGCTGTGCTCTGGTTTTCGACCAGGTACGAGTCGAGGGGGAGGAAAGGATCGAACAGTTTAAACAACATATACAAATGGAACTCGAATTCAGATGGAAGTCTGTCAAACTCACCCTAGACACCCTTCACAGGGCAAAAGATATCGAGGAGCGGATAAGGCAGTTCTCTAGGGAGTGGTTGGGAGGAGATCGAGAAGGGTGGGTAGCAGAGGTGAGTTGGTCAGGGGACGGGAATGGGGGGGAGGACAGGGAAGGAGGACAAGAAGGGAGGTCGGTGCCACGAGACTACCGTTTAAAGTTTAAGGATTGGTTGACTATCGACTGCACTGCAGCGTTCCTTTGAGACCAGCAGAGGACTTCCCGGATCCATTCCCGCCCCACCCATTGTCTACGGAATTGAGACAGGTGGGACGACTTCACATGGGAGCCCATCAACCTATCAAATTCTCATTTATACACAGTGAGGGTAGGAGTATGAGGCAGCAGAGTACACCCGAAGGAGAGGGCCGGGCAGGAGAAGGAAGGATCCACTGGTGCCCCCAGGTGGCCCTTCCCAGAATCCTGTCCGGGCAGAGGAATGGAGCTAATGATAAAGGTGTATTAGGACAAGTCGGGTTCAGGCTCAGTCGGGCACACCTGCGCAGTCAATCCTCTGGTCTCCAGAGTAATCAATGCTGGCAGGCACCATCTACTTACCCTCCCATGATCACCCATGCATCATCTTTTTCTAGCTTTTCCAATATCCTGCTCAGTCAATCCCCTGGAATCCAGGGTAATCAATGCTGGCAGGATCCCTCTACATTGTTTCTCTAATGTTTTCTGATTGCAGTCTGTATATGGGACGCTGGACCCGTTTTCCAGCAGGTGACGCTCCCCACCAATAGATGGAGCCTCTCCCCAGGTGGTAATGGTGTCTGCTCTTATCAGCACCACTATCACCGGTGGGAGTGTATTGTTAAAAAAAAAAAAAAAAAAAAAAAAAAAATTCCCTAGTAGTTTTGTCTCATTTTCATAAAATTTTCTGATGAGTTTTCTGAACGTAATCGTTATGGGACACTGGGCCCGGTTCCCAGTTTGTGCCAATTTGTGAGGATATGGTTGTATCTATGGGACGCTGGACCTGGTTTCCAGCAGGTGCTGCTCCCCACCAATAGATGGAGTTTGGTTAAAAAAAAAAACAAAAAAAGGTCAGTGCTGAAAATGGAACCTGGGAAAGCTGCTTCTTGCTCAGTGCAGAAATGGCGGGGAAACAAAGGTAGCTGCTTTCTGGCCCTATCTACCTCAAAGAAAACCCAGTATGCGAGAGCCCGCAAGGCGATAGAATGGGGTGAACATCCAATGAAGGACCCACTGCACAGTCCATCCTTTGATGAGCTACAAAAAGCAAGGGATCACCTCCAAGACTACATAGATCAACAAACACAAGCTTGGAGGATTCAAGCACGCGTCAAGGGAGGACATAATGAAGGCAAGATGGCGAAAGCCTTTTTCCACAGAGCCAAGGCACGTGCAAGAGCCAACACGGTCCCAAGACTCAAGCACCCCTTTGAAGCAGACGCGCCGGTGGCAACAAATGCCTATGTGATAGTGGACTATGCATCTACATACTACCAGAACCTGTTCACATCGCAAACTCCCACAACCCCCCCACCAGGTCAACCGGGCACGGGAACAATTGATGCATGCAATCCAGAGACGTCTCACACCTGCCCAGAAAACCCAATTGGACAGTCCTCTTACCATCGAGGAAGTCAAGGAAGCCCTTGATGACATGGAGGATGAAAAAACCTCTGGGGCGGATGCCTTTCCCAAGGAATTCTGGGTCCAGTTCTGGGATCTGCTAAGAGTAGACCTAATGGAATACATTGGGGCGATCCAACGAGAAGGATCTTTTGGGGGTATGATGGGACAAGGGGTCACTACTTTGCTCTACAAGAAGGGGGACAATGAAGAAATTAGAAAGTACAGGTCGATCATTATAAACTTGTGGCAAAAACGTTAACCAGAAGACTGTTGCCGCTCATGAACCTCCTCATACATCCGGATCAGACGGGCTTCATGCCTAACTGCAACATCCAGGATAACATATTGCTAGTCAATGAAACAATCAAATATGCCCGCCAGAGAAGGGTCCCAACAACGCTGCTCTTCATAGACTTTGAAAAAGTCTATGACCATATTGACTAGGATTTCCTGGATATGTGTCTGACGAAGATGAACCTTGGGCGGGTCCTTAGTCAGTGGGTACAACTTCTTCATAGGTCGCCCTCAACGAATATCATGTTAAATGGCCACTTGGCAGCCCCCTTCGCCCTCCAAAGATCAGTGCGTCAAGGGAACCCGATAGCGCTCTTGCTGTTTGTGATTGTCATGGAGGCCCTGGCCTCACTTATTAGAGCCCACCCCCAGACCCAAAAGTGTCAATCCCAGAGCTGCCAACTCACCTGGTTCCGATGACATCCCTCTTCGTAGACGACCTTACAGTGTTGATTCGAGCAAAAGAACAAAGCCTTCATGCAATAACGGATGTTATACATCAATTATTGCTACCTGCTGATATGAAGGTGAATTGGAATGCTAAAACTGAAGGTTGGTGGCAGCATTCCCAGGATGACAACCCCCCCTTGGAACCACAAATCTCATGGGCAGCAAAGGAAATAACAATTAGAATCTTGGGAGTACACCTAACAGCAGTGGGCCCTCCGCCAGACCACGGAGATACCTTGGTCAACCTCCCAATAGAGAGGTTGGGCAGGTGGGAGAAATTGCATACATCTTTCTTGGGACGGGCTCTGGCAATAAACAATGCTGTCCTTGCTGAAATCTGGTACAAACTTGCAGTGTGGCCCCTTAACCAAAAACAATATACCAGACTCAGACGTGCCCTAACGACTTTTCTGTGGAAAAACAATACTATAACCCAAGGAGCCCTGAACAAGGTGAGATCCGATAGACTGACACAGCCGAGATCCAAAGGGGGGCTAGGAATACTCGATCCGAAAAGAGAGAGTGAAACCCTCATTTTTGAAGTACTGGTCAAACTCCTCATCGTTGACAACATTCCATTGGCGCCGCCAGCCTGTTTGCAGATCACAAATTTGGCCCCGGAATCGCCGGTCGAAAACCGGGTGCACCCTTTTCAATGGCTAACCAATGCCCACTGGTGTATACCTACTCCTCACCAGCAGCGACCACCAGAGAATGTGGTGCAAGCCACGAAACAGGACATATCAAAAAATCCACTGTGGCCCTGGATGCTCAAACTTTGGAGAAACGTAGGACCAAAACAGAAACGGTCACCCAGCAGGTGGCAAGACATATGGCGACAACCTCTCTTTGGCAATCCCTTCGTACTCGACGCTAATGGGAATCCCTTCACTCCCACCACAAATTCTCCATGGCTCAGCTGGGTCAAATATACAGTGTAGACAGCTTGTGGGATGTGGAAAGAGGGGACTGGATCCCATCGGACCAACTACAACAAAAATTGAAATACTCCAAACACATGTCCGCAAAATTCGACTTGCTGAGAGAGGCCATACCGATTGCCTGGCAACTTGCCCTAAAAAGAGGGCCCACTGTGCAACAAGGGGACTGGGTGGTCAAACACGCAGACCTGCCACTGCCACTCGTGGTCTACAATGTGGAGACGAACGATCAAGGAACCTGCACTCTAGAGGCCCACGAGCCAGGGCTGCCGGGAGTGTCACAGATTGTAAGGAATGAAGAACTAGATTGCAAAGAAAACTGGGAAATCCTCATGCACATAAGAGTGGTGGGTAACCACAAAGAGGGGTTTTTCGCCTATGAGTCCTGGACTCCGGTTGCAGCCCTACCCTTTGATCCTGATGAGTGGGAATGGGCAAACGGTAAAGCAATGCACATGTGGGACTGCACAGTAAAAAAGGGGGCTACAGACAATCGGCACCACAACTGTTGAAAGAACCTATCATCACTGCAAGATGGATTAGGGACTTGCCTATCGACCCGACCTATGTACAGAATCTACCCTGGAACATGTACTTCAAGATTATGCCTACCATCCTTACATGGTTACAGTGGCAAGTTCTACACCGGTGCCTCCCCACACCGGATTGGCTGGTGTTCAGAACTAACCTGGAGCAGAAAGGGCTTTTATCCCCCATCTGTTCCTATTGTGGCAAAGCATCACCCCCAGAACGAGCGACCCTTGAACACTGCCTCTTGGCATGCCCAATGGTCGCCCAGATTTGGCGGTGGTGGGATGCAGCCTTCCACTCCCTCACCGCCCTCCACATCCCCTGGGACATGGCCCTACTATTGCTGGGCAGAAAAGATCACATCCTAAAACATTGGCCAGCGTTTGCAGTCACCCTGTTCTCATACACAAGGCTTCACGTGCTAATGCTGGCCTGGCGTGCAAGATGTTCCTTTGAAAGAAAGGACCACCAGTTTGGACTGCAACAGGCCCAGCAAGCATTGGAGGAGGTGATTAGAGTCCCCACGCAAGAAGCCTGAAAGGCCACAAAACAAGAATACAAAAGCGAGAAACAGCCACAGGTCTATCGTATTATCAGTATCATCAGTATCATCATGGTCATCATCATTCAAGGGTCGCTAAGCCCGGTTCTCAGCATTTTCCATTCGATCACTCCGGGCAGACTGTGAGGACCCCGGCCTCAATCTTATTATTGGAAATATCAGCCTTGGGCACCAGGCCCGTTTTTATTATTAAAAAAATAAATAAATAAATAAATAAATAAATAAACAAATAAATAAATAAACAGATCATCAAGGATACTTAAGTACAAATATGGCAGGATCCTCTCAAACTGTTCAGTGAGGTTGATGCCGAGCTTAATATCACCTGGAAACCATGGAGGACCACGGAGCACACTTTGTGTAGGAAACCCCTACAGGAGTTCCAAATCCCGTACATTACCTGCTTCTGACCCACCATTCTCCCCATCTGCTCCTCTCCTCCCTCCCCATTCCACCCCCCCTGCCCAGATCCCCCGCCCCCCCTCGATCAGGAGCAGCAGGATGAAAGATACAAAAGAGTACGGTAACCCTGCAGACCTTCATATGCCACAAACCAGCAAGCAGAACGACTCCGATATTCAAGGGGCAGCGGACAACACCCACAGACCATTACCTCGACAATGAAGACAAGATGCAAGGACGACATGCTTCCTGGATCAATCCAGCAGATGGTCACAGGGATAAGGGACGGGCCAAGAGGAGCTTCAACATCTACGAGCCTGCAGATCCAGGGATTTGGAGGTTGACGAGGTTTAGCATCTGAGGGACTCCATGACCGAAAAACAAAGACACCCCAGTTTCAGCGGATACGATAAAAGTGTGGAGGAGCGGTCAACAATGTTAGGCACCCTTGTAGGCACACCACTGATGGCCTTTGATCGGGCTGTGCAGCCACTCCCCTTCCAGGCTTTTAAATCTCTGATGTGCATGTTATATTGAACAATTGTAATAAGGGACGCTGGGCCCGCTTCTCAGCAGGTGATGCTCCCCACCAATAGATGGAGCCACCCCGGGAGAGCTTGAGGCAACTGCTCCTACCAGCATCTCAAGCTGTCCCACGGGGTCGATTCTTAAAAAAAAAACAAAAAAACAAAAAAAAAAAACAAAAAAAAAAAACAAAGAAAGGCCTAAGAACTTGTACCATAGGGCACTAAACCACCTCACTGGCTTTGGCATAGTGTCTTTTTGCAGCGAACCGGTCGTGCCCCCGTCAACAGTGAGGAGTGTGTCTCCATCTTCTCAAGGGCTTGCTTGAACCCTGCCTTTTAACAGA